TGTTTACATAATATATGTGTGTGTGTGTACTGTGTATATTTATTATGTAGATATAAACACACACACATGCAGTATATATTTAAGAGTCTGGTCTGGTCTGGTCTGATCTGATCTGATTTGGTCTGATCTGATCTGGTCTGGTCTGGTCTGGTCTAGTCTGATCTGGTCTGGAGCGACGCACCGCGGCCGAGGCGCTGCTGTAGATGGATCTGAGGGCCGATCCGGGCGAGCCGCTGCTTGGTCTGATTTGGTCTGGTCTGATTTGGTCTGGTCTGATTTGGTCTGGTCTGATTTGGTCTGGTCTGATTTGGTCTGGTCTGATTTGGTCTGGTCTGATTTGGTCTGGTTTGGTCTGGTCTGGTCTGATTTGGTCTGGTCTGATTTGGTCTGGTCTGATTTGGTCTGGTCTGATTTGGTCTGGTCTGATCTGATTTGGTCTGGTCTGGTCTGGTCTAGTCTGGTCTGGTCTAGTCTGGTCTGATCTGGTCTGATCTGGTCTGGAGCGACGCACCGCGGCCGAGGCGCTGCTGTAGATGGATCTGAGGGCCGATCCGGGCGAGCCGCTGCTGCTGGGAGGATTGATCCGCTTCTCCTTCTGTCTGCGGTTACAGAACCAGACGCGCACCACCTCCTTCTCCATGTGCAGCTGATCCGCGATCAGTGTGATCTCCTCCGACGACGGCTTCGGACTCTGCTGCAGATCACACAGTAACACTAAACATCAGTCGCCGGCCCAGAAGAGCTGCCAGATGCCACCGCGAGCTCTGCTGTCCTCTAGTGCTCACCTCCAGGAAGCTCTTCTCTAAGGCCAGACGGATGCTGGTCTCGATGCTGGTGCGCTTCTTGCGCCGGCGGTTCAGACTCTCACAGAGACCCGGAGACATCTCGCTCGCACTCGACACCACGCAGTCCGCAGACATGTGCTCTGAGCAAACACACACCAACCGCTTCATATTAGAAGTACTCATTAAAGAATAATATTTCCAGTGGCATTTCTAACTATTTTAACCTTATTAGATAAATGCATCGTCTTTTATGTCACATTCTCAAATTTAATCAATAAATTAATTCAGAGTAATAAGACACTTTAGAACAATTTAAATCAGTGTCATTTCTTGCAGCACAAAAGCTGCATTTAGATGTATTTAAACTGTTTGCAGCTCAGAAAACATTTACATATGCATAAATCATCTTATAAGCAGGATTATTATAATGAACTTAAACTAAAGCTCAAACCATAAAAAATTCATTACTTGAAATAAAATAAATGTTAATGATTATATACACACGCTCGCACACACTCACACACGCTAGCACACTCACACGCTCGCACACACGCTCGCACACTCACACTCACACACTCACACGCTCGCACGCTCACACTCACACACTCACACACTCACACACTCACACACTCACACACACTAGCACACTCACACGCTAGCACACTCACACGCTCGCACACTCACACACGCTAGCACACTCACACACGCTAGCACACTCACACTTACACGCTCGCACACTCACACTCACACAGACACACACACCTCAGCTTGTTGCCAAAGCAACATTTTCTATTTTAATTTAGTTTAACTTTATGTACTAAAATAAACAAACTAAAACAGAAATATTTATTAGTAACTACATAGATGTTTTTTTAAATCAAAAACTACTAAAAATGACAAAAACATACAAATTACTAAAACTTATAATATAATAAAATATTAAATAAAAACAAATTCATAATATTAATAAAAATGATATAGTATCTGCTTATATGGTATTTGTTTTAAATAGAACATTTTAAATTTAATTAGCAAAAATGTTTTGTCTGTAACTCACAATATTAATCTCTATTGATATTGATTTTATACAACAGGTCAATAAACATGCAATTGTGCAGATATTCAGAAAGAACAGCACACTTGCTCAAGTGATGCAGATTAACAACACACACAATATAAATATAAGCCGTAAACCTATACAGGGCATTTTTGCACCCATATCTTAAATTGTAATCTTGAGTATATAGAATTTGGGGTCATTGTAACTGTTCTACTGGACGACATGACGCAGAGTAAGTGTGCTCAATCAAGAACTGGTCATGTGTGTGTTTTGTTTTCAAAGTGAGTGACGCTCAATATTACACACATCTCTCAGCGCTGGAACTATATGAGTGCATAAGCACGATTCCGGGACTGTCTGTGTTTATGGTATTACTCTGAATCTGCAGAAGAAAGCTGTTCTCACCTGCGTCGTTCAGCCATTTCTCCAGCAGAGGTTTGAGTTTGCACATGTTCTTGAAGCTCAGGTTCAAGGCCTCGAATCTGGAGATGGTGGTCTGACTGAAGTCGTTTCCGTAGAGTTTCCCCATCGCCAGCCCCACATCGCCCTGACACACACACACACACAAACACGTTTACTTAGCTATCTAAATGGGTTTTTCCGTAGAGTTTCCCCATCGCCAGCCCCACATCGCCCTGACACACACACACACACGTTTACTTAGCTATCTAAATGGGTTTTCACTGTGGCGTCGAGCCGCCTTCAAATCGCTGAGTTCAGAATGGTTTCATTTGTATTTTGGTGTGTTTAGTGATTCTGAATGGAGCCGTATAGTAGTTTATATGCAGTCCTTTGGCATCTCCCTGTGGTATTGTTTAAATCTACAATAAGAGCTCATTTGTAATTTACCATTTACTAATACATTTTTAAAGTTTCTTGTTAACATACTATTTTTTTTTTTAAAAGCGAGATGCAACGCAACAGTCAAACGTATCCGTTTACACAGAAATGCAATGGAAAAGCAGAAAGCTGTGCAGAACTACTACTGCATGTATGATATTTAATGCTGCTGCTGCTTTCATTCATTGTCAATAATCGTCTATTACTGCTGTTATACTGACAGTCAGCAAGAGTCTGAATCGCCTCGACTTCGAGTTGAACTCTAAATATTTAGCATTTTTCTTATTTCTGAATGCACAGGATAGTTTTAAATACAGTATTTGCCTTCAAGATTTCATGCATATCTTCTGCAAACACGTGAGTTTGTTGTACGTTCGCACCACACTGAACAGAACTTTCTTTAACCAGATGATTCATAAAGAGAATATTACTTGAATCATGTGACAGTTTTAAGCTGACTAGCTAAAATCTTAATTCAAACGTTCAGAAAAAATACTATTTTTTGCCATATCACCGAGTCCCAGATGACAAGAGCTACAATATTAGACACTGAATATCAACGCAGAACCGTATTAATCAACCATCACATTTCCAGCAGTGATTCACTTTCATAGCAGATACTCAAAACACAATCAACAGAGCGAAGGGCGGTCGCTTTAGCTCACTAATATCTGATCAAGATAAACTCACCGAACCGCGATGCGATACTCCGCGATCACAGACGGACGCAGCACATCAGCGACAGCGAACGCATCCGACGGAGAACACCGAGACGAGCGAAACACAAAGACTACATCTAGAAGTGCCGCATCCATAATGAAAGTTAATCAGTATGCAGCTGATTAAAGCCGTATGCAAATCTCACTCCCCGTTGCTCATTAGAAGAGCACCGCTTTGAAGTTCTGCACGGACCTCTGAAAGCTTTCTGCATAATTCAACATGTTTCATAAATATTTATCAGCTCATTAGCATATTAATTGGATAGCTTTTAGGACAGAGTTACGGCGAGGGAGAAGTGAGACAAGGCCAATTACCAGCCGTGTGTGACTGTTTTAATTACTGGGGGGAGGGGGGGGGGTTCCCAGCATGCAACACAGCTAGGATGAAAGAATGTGTCGCTAATGACCGCCATCTCAAAGCATCCCGGAGTCAAACTGGACAAGCTCGTTTATACAAAACAACATGTCAAAGAACAGGGATGACGAAGCCTTAACTCACCGGCCAACTGAGATCAACCACTGCGAATGCTTTAATTTTTTGGCAAACAAAATGCTGCTCAACAGGGATTAACGATTAAAATAAAAACAAAGATGAAAAATTGTGATTATTCCTTAAAAAATTATGTTCTAATTATTATTATCATCATATATTAAGATTATATCATTATTTTTTCGATGATATATTATTAATATCATTTCTGAGATGTGCACTTTGATGTGTACAGCCCTACTTTTGATTTATTTAACCAGAATTTTCCAAATTCCGTGATATTCCGTGTTACACAGTGCATTGATTGGTTCTGTTTTCTGCATCACAGTCTGGGCGTGCTGTACCTGCGCGGTGAGGGCGAAGCTGCTCTGCGCGGGGCTTTGAGGTAGATGCGTCAGGAGACTCTGAGCTTGCAGGAGACCTGAGACACACAGACGAGTTAGAAACAGCGCTGAGGAGCAGGAATCAGCAGACGGAGGAGATGCTCGTACCGGTCTGACCCTGAGGAGACGGAGATATGATGAACTGCGGCTGAAACTGAGGACTGAGGGAGTGACCCGGCTGGACCAGGACGAACTGCTGCAGGTTCATGCCCTGCGGCTGCAGACGGGGTCCCAGCATGCAACACAGCTAGGATGAAAGAATGTGTCGCTAATGACCGCCATCTCAAAGCATCCCGGAGTCACACTGGACAAGCTCGTTTATACAAAACAACATGTCAAAGAACAGGGATGACGAAGCCTTAACTCACCGGCCAACTGAGATCAACCACTGCCTTCACCTGGTTAACGTTCTTCAGCGGTTTGAGGAGGGATCAGCAAATATTCTCTGTTTTCCCAGCCAGGATTTCTAAATTGTCCTGATTTTGGCTTTGTTTTTCTATTAACAGTCTCTCTGCTGTGATTGATCGATATGGATTTTTTGATGGACGATATATATACGATATCACGCCAATTTATTTAAAGATAGTAAAAATTACACAAATTTCTGAAATTAAATCTATATTTATTTCACATAATATTACTAAATGACTTAATTTGGAAATGAATAAATATGGGAAAAAATTTTTTTTACTTGGTTTTGCCGCAATTGGTCGATAATGTCTGATGCCTGCACGCTATTGGTCAAAATAACTTTCAGTATTACTTTTAGCAAGTGTGAAAACTATAGGAAAACAAAGCTAAAACCTGGACAGTTTAGGCGATTCAGAAATAGAGAAGAGTCACCCGACTGAATCAGTGGCGTTTGCTAAGGTCACTGTTACTAGTAGTGCTCCTACTGAACTAACCTCTAACTAATTAGTAGAGAGAGAGACAGAGAGACAGAGAGACAGAGAGACAGAGAGAGTGAGAGAGCGAGAGAGCGAGAGAGCGAGAGAGCGAGAGAGGGAGAGAGCGACAGAGAGACAGAGAGACAGAGAGAGTGAGAGAGCGAGAGAGCGAGAGAGCGAGAGAGCGAGAGAGCGAGAGAGCGAGAGAGCGAGAGAGCGAGAGAGCGAGAGAGCGAGAGAGCGAGAGAGCGAGAGAGCGAGAGAGCGAGAGAGCGAGAGAGCGAGAGAGCGAGAGAGCGAGAGAGCGAGAGAGCGAGAGAGCGAGAGAGCGAGAGAGCGAGAGAGCGAGAGAGCGAGAGAGCGAGAGAGCGAGAGAGCGAGAGAGCGAGAGAGCGAGAGAGCGAGAGAGAGAGAGAGAGAGAGAGAGAGAGAGCGAGAGTGAGAGTGAGAGAGTGAGAGAGAGAGTGAGAGAGTGTGTGTGTGTGTGTGTGTGAGAGAGAGAGAGAGAGTGTGAGTGAGTGCGAGAGAGTGATAAGGCACAACGCGTATACAGAGAACAGAAACATTTAAACTCAACTGCAGCACAAACTTTCCTATTAGACCTCAAGAACTCATTAATATTCATCAGCTTTAATTAAGCCATCATTCTGTGTTTGCCAATCATACGCTCCAATTCTGTGATGACTTTAATGCAATTATAGCAACTAGACTGAACTCCGCTCTCATATGCGACCCGATCAGAGTCAGTCATGAATAACGAGCAGCTCAAACATCTTCAACTACAGACTACTGCAGTGATGTTACAGTGACACTACAGTGACACTACAGTGACACTACAGGGACACTACAGGGACGTTACAGTGGCGCTACAGTGACGTTACAGCGGCGCTACAGTGACGTTACAGTGGCACTACAGTGGCGCTACAGTGATGTTACAGTGGCGCTACAGGGACGTTACAGTGACGCTACAGAGAGAGAGAGAGAGAGCGAGAGAGCGAGAGATGCATGTATTTGTTGCATAAATATCTGTTCTAGATTCAGTGTAAACACTATGCTTTGGCAATACACTGTAACAATTGTCATGCCAATAAAGCACGAATTGAATTGAATCGAGAGAGAGAGAGAGAGAGAGAGAGAGAGAGAGAGAGATGGACGCATGCAAGCACATGACTGATGTGTTTTACTGTAAAATATATCTATATTATAGTTACACAACGGCCTCTTCTGCTCACCGAGGCTGCATTTCTGACGTTACAGTGGCGCTACAGGGAAGTTACAGTGGCGCTACAGTAACCTTACAGTGGCGCTACAGTGATGTTACAGTGGCGCTACAGGGAAGTTACAGTGGCGCAACAGGGAAGTTACAGTGGCGCAACAGGGATGTTACAGTGACGCTACAGGGAAGTTACAGTGGCGCTACAGGGACGTTACAGTGGCGCTACAGGGATGTTACAGTGGCGCAACAGGGATGTTACAGTGGCGCTACAGTGGCGCTACAGTGGCGCTACAGTGACGCTACAGGGACGTTACAGTGGCGCTACAGTGATGTTACAGTGGCGCTACAGTGACGCTACAGGGAAGTTACAGTGACGCTACAGGGAAATGCATTTTATTTTTCAGGATTCACAGATGAACAGAAAGTTCAAAAGAACAATTGAAATTGGAATCTTTGGTAACATTATAAATGTCTTTACTGTTACTTTTGATCAACTGAATGTGAATTAAAGTAATAACTTCTTCGACCCCAAACATGTTTGAACAGTACTGTATGTCTTGCTAACAGAAGAGGGCATCAGAATAAACAGCTTCTCTCTATTATTGTGTGAATGAGCAGCCGCTCTCAGGCGCTTGTGGTCTGACTGCAGTGGGAGTGTCAGTGAATCGGACGTCTCTGATTGGACGGTGAGCTGTCAGTCACTTACAGAGGCGATCTGAATGGGCTGGGACAGTGTGATGGGCGTGGCCGCGGAGGCGGAGATACTGGCTCCAGTGGTGCTGTTCTGTTGACCTGCGGCCAGGAGCTGCGTCTGCGTCTGCAACAGCTGCGCAGACCCACAGAACACACAATCTGAAGCTTATACTTCTCAGGAATAATTCAGTTTAGACTTCATCTCTTTAGCATGTGTAAATAGCTCATACCTTGACTGTAAATTGTGAATCAAATTTAACCAAAACTAGGCCAAATTGAGCAATTATAATATCTTAAAGGGATAGTTCACCCAAAAGTGAAAATGTCTTCATTTACTCAAGATGTTGGAGCATCTTGAGTAAAAGATGACAGACAACTCTCTTTAAAAGCAGCAGCGTACTGGAGTTGTGTGATGCTCTATATTCTCACTGTACACTCCAGCGCTCCTCTCGTTAACGGAAACCTTGTTATGCAGCGCATATAAATTGTGCACAGATCTGCATACTCTCCTCCACCTGTTTCCGAGCGACAGAAGCGTGTTTAATCAATGATTCACGTACCTGCTGGAGCAGCGCTTGTGTCTGAACGCTGCTGACCGCTGCTTGACCGCTCGGTTTGTGGCCATCCAGACCGTTGGCCTGAGCTGCTGATGAACACATGAGGGTCAATCAGTGAGTCAAACACACACAGATGCAACGAATCAGCAGCTCGTAACTCACCTCCATGCGCTCCGTTCTCCATGCTGCCTTTGCTCAGATCTGCTGGATGGCTGCTGGAATCTGTGCAGAGAGAAAACAGAGCATCTAGCCAACATTTACAACAGCTGCTGACGACGCGCTACAGTAACCTTACAGTGGCGCTACAGTGATGTTACAGTGAAGTTACAGTGGCGCTACAGTGATGTTACAGTGACGCTACAGGGACGTTACAGTGGCGCTACAGTGATGTTACAGTGGCGCTACAGTGATGTTACAGTGGCGCTACAGTGACGCTACAGGGAAGTTACAGTGACGCTACAGTGATGCTACAGGGAAGTTACAGTAGCGCTACAGGGAAGTTACAGTGGCGCTACAGTAACCTTACAGTGGCGCTACAGTGATGTTACAGTGATGCTACAGGGAAGTTACAGTGGCGCTACAGTAACGTTACAGTGGCGCTACAGTGCCAAAATTACAAAATTAACATTTTGTTAATGAAAACTATGATGAAAAAGTTTGACGACAAGTTTTTTTCCCATGACTAAGACGAGACGATAATATGACTATATCAACATGCAATTTCATTGATGAAATAAGACGAGACTAAAATGTATTAAAAAAAATAAAAATGTTATTGCGGACTACTCTACACTCAAATGTCAAGTTTTCATTGACTAAAACTAGAATAAAATGTTGAGACTTTTACCCCTGGTTTCACAGACAAGGCTAGTCCCAGACTAAAATACATGTTTGAGCGGTCTCAACTGAAAATATCTTAAAATATGTCAGTGTCATTGTTCTGTGTCAAGATGCACACCTGTAATGTTTTTTTCTAAGGCATTTTTGTAAAAGTTGCTTAAATATCTTAATTTAACTAAGGCCTAGCCCTTACTTAAGCTAAGCCCTGTTTGTGAAACCGGGCCTTAGTCGTCTAAAGCTAAATATTATACAAATTAACAAGGACATTTAACACGGGACTAAGACTAAGAATAAAATTGAAAATAGCTGACAAAATTAACACTACATTACAGTAACAGTCCAGCGATGTTACAGTAGGGTTGCACGATTGATCGAATACGATTGTTATGCGTATCTTTCAGTGAAGCAGGGTTCTGTGATCAGTAGTAAATCTCCATCCGAAGGCCAGAGGGCACTCTCACACTGAAACTCCAGATATGCCCGCAGAAGAAAGGTAATGCATGTCGTTCCAGGGTTGTGGCTAGAAGGGATACCGTTGCGGCCGATTTGCGGATTAATTGCAAAATTTAACCATAATAGAGTTAAAGTTTATGAATTGTACGTGTTTACATACGCAAGGGATTTTAAACCATTCCAGTGTAAGGAAAGGGCGAAAGGGAACTGGATTTGTTACTTGCACATTGTTTTCTATGTTCACAGCCGCACACACACACATGAAGCACGCAAGACCGAACTGAACCCTCATTCATATCTCCTTCACTCCTTGCCTTTGAACAGACACATATTATGACAAAATAACGATCTCGACAATCATTTTGGTAAAAGCAGTTGGTTATGTTGTAAGTGAACGAGAACAGCTGAGAAAATAATCAGAGGTGTATCATTATATTGGATCCGTGCATCAGTTCTTAAAGGGACAGCAGCCTAATGCCTGATAATACCTGCTGCTGTCATTATGCTCATCAAACAACAAAACATGTTTTTGAGAAAGATGAATCTATATTAATTTATACAGTGAACACTATGGATGCCACAATTCTCAATATAATATTAACCGTTCAGTGCGACATCTACGGTTCAATACACGCTTGTCAATTGCGTTTTTTTTGGTTTTGCGTTTAAATAATATCCGAGTATTTCATTTCTCTCAGAATTGGCTCTGTGTGTGTGTCCGTGTGAGTGAGTGTGTGTGTCCATGAGTGTGTGTGCGTGAGTGTGTGTGTCCATGAGTGTGTACGTGAGTGTGTGTCTGTGAGTGTGTGTCCGTGAGTGTGTGTCTGTGAGTGTGTGTGTGTGTCCGTGAGTGTGTGTCCGTGAGTTCACGCCTCCCCGCTTATATTTGAAAAAGCAACACACGTTGACGTGTGCAATGAAAATGCAATGACATGCAATGACAAGCCTTTCTAAACCTGTTGTCCAACAAAAGAGAACATTATAACTTTTTATGTCACAACATCAGTCGAGTGTTTGAAATAAGTTCCTTTTGTGATCTGATGTGGCTTCTTATCAAAGAATGAGGCAGAAAATATATTCTATACTGTAATAAAGGCTATGTGATTAGAAATGGCTTACAAATATACTTATTACTTAATATGAAAATACCCGAGATGGCTTGAAAAACACAGATAAACGTGTGACTCTGGAGCACAAAAGCAGTGTTAAGTCGCTGGGGGATATTTGTAGCAATAGCCAACAATACATTGTATGGGTCACAATTATACATTTCTCTTTTATGCCAAAAATCATTAGGATATTAAGATCATGTTCCATGAAGATATTTAGTAAATCTCCTACCGTAAATATATCAAAACCTAATGTTTGATTAGTAATATGCATTGCTAAGAACTTCATTTGAACAACTTTAAAGATGATTTTCTCAATATTTAGATTTTTTTGCACCCTCAGATTCCAGATTTTCAAATATTGTCCGATCCTAACAAACCATACATCAATGGAAAGATTATTTATTCTGCTTTCAGATGATGTAGAAATCTCAATTTAAAAAAAAATTATCCTTAAGACTGGGTTTGTGCTCCAGGGTCACATATATTGTCGCAGGCGAGTGTTTATTGTCCTTACATTTCATCTTTCAAAACGTTTAACGTTATATCTTCTTTTTATTCAGTTACAGTGATATCTATATTAGGGATGGGCGGATCGATCCTTAAGTATCGATACTGATGTTTTATCGAAAGGATCGATCCTCACATAAAAATATCGATTCTGAAGTGCATTTTTATAAACCTTAATTTGATTTTCTTATCAAGAAATTCAGTGCATAAAATAAGCATTTAAGTGGAAAAATAGACTATATTAGCGAATAATTGTGTTGGATAGAACCATTTCTCCTGCTCATCGGAACACACGCAAATGCTGAAAGACGGAACCAGCCAATCACGGACAGCGTTCGCTGCTGACGCGTGGCTCAGTGTTTGTTCAGATAGAGCTGCGTTTCCCAAAAGCATCAGAAGCATAAGTAGATCTTAAGAAACCATTGCCACATTATTACATTACATTGTTACTATATGCATCAATGTAGAGGGTTGCAAAATCTTACTGACCCCAAACTTTTGTGTACATGTAATATTTATTTTAAATTGGCTAGTTTGTGCAAGTAAACTTATTTAAACTGGTTGTTAAAAGTTCAAATGGATTGTGTAATGTTGGGTAAAGTTGCAATTACCCATTTTATTTATTTATATACACACACACACACAAAGATAAGTGGCATAAGGCACAACGCGTATACAGAGAACAGAAACATTTAAACTCAACTGCAGCACAAACTTTCCTATTAGACCTCAAGAACTCATTAATATTCATCAGCTTTAATTAAGCCATCATTCTGTGTTTGCCAATCATACGCTCCAATTCTGTGATGACTTTAATGCAATTATAGCAACTAGACTGAACTCCGCTCTCATATGCGACCCGATCAGAGTCAGTCATGAATAACGAGCAGCTCAAACATCTTCAACTACAGACTACTGCAGTGATGTTACAGTGACATTACAGTGAAGTTACAGTGACACTACAGTGACACTACAGGGACACTACAGGGACGTTACAGTGGCGCTACAGTGATGTTACAGTGACGTTACAGCGGCGCTACAGTGACGTTACAGTGGCGCTACAGTGACGTTACAGTGGCGCTACAGGGACGTTACAGGGACGCTACAGGGAAGTTACAGTGACGTTACAGTGACGTTACAGCGGCGCTACAGTGACGTTACAGTGGCACTACAGTGACGTTACAGTGGCGCTACAGGGACGTTACAGGGACGCTACAGGGAAGTTACAGTGACGTTACAGTGACGTTACAGTGGCGCTACAGGGAAGTTACAGTGGCGTTACAGTAACCTTACAGTGGCGCTACAGTGATGTTACAGTGACGCTACAGGGAAGTTACAGTGGCGCAACAGGGAAGTTACAGTGGCGCAACAGGGATGTTACAGTGACGCTACAGGGAAGTTACAGTGGCGCTACAGGGACGTTACAGCGGCGCTACAGGGATGTTACAGTGGCGCAACAGGGATGTTACAGTGGCGCTACAGTGGCGCTACAGTGGCGCTACAGTGACGCTACAGGGACGTTACAGTGGCGCTACAGTGACGTTACAGTGGCGCTACAGGGACGTTACAGTGGCGCTACAGGGACGTTGCAGTGGCGCAACAGGGACGTTACAGTGGCGCAACAGGGATGTTACAGTGGCGCTACAGTGACGTTACAGTGACGCTACAGGGAAGTTACAGTGACGCTACAGTGATGTTACAGTGGCGCTACAGGGAAGTTACAGTGGCGCTACAGGGACGTTACAGTGGCGCTACAGTGACGTTACAGTGGCACTACAGTGCCAAAATTACAAAATTAACATTTTGTTAATGAAAACTATGATGAAAAAGTTTGACGACAAGTTTTTTTCCCATGACTAAGACGAGACGATAATATGACTATATCAACATGCAATTTCATTGATGAAATAAGACGAGACTAAAATGTATTAAAAAAAATAAAAATGTTATTGCGGACTACTCTACACTCAAATGTCAAGTTTTCATTGACTAAAACTAGAATAAAATGTTGAGACTTTTACCCCTGGTTTCACGATTCGAGCCACAGACCGTTTTCATTTGGTGACATTCATTATGGAAGGTCATAAATGAAATTTCACAACGTTAAATGTTCAAAGGTTTCACATGTTAATGTGAAGAACAACATTCAGGCTTGTGCACATCCATGAAGTCCAGAAGAGCATCAGGTGAAGATCAGACCCATCATCATCATCATCATCACAGTGTGGAAAACTGGGACACACTAGTATGCACACATATAAAAAACACAGTGCACACTGATAACACCCTGGATGTTCTGCAGGACCAGCAATGAGCTGCTCCTGAGACACGAGAATCTGAAAAAGCACAAGCATCCAAAGCACATCACACACAGCGCATTAGCGCTCAGAAATTAATCATTCATGAACACGGCGTTTGTACTCATGAATATTCATGAGCAGCTCTGTACATTTAATCCGCGCGATAAATAAATAGTGTGACGCGTCTCTCATCTGGAATGAAACTGACGTTTAAATTATGCACGAGAATGAAAAGCATTAAACAAGCTGGGCTGGTGTTATGCAAATTCGCATTTCACTCCTGCAGCTTTTAATGCAGCGCTAGTTCCTCCGGAGCGAATCATTCAATTCAACACGAGGCGCGTGAGAACCGGAAACTTTTCAGACTTTGTAACGCATTACCTGTTAGACAATATAAACATTCAACCCCCAACACACACACACACACACACACACACTCACACTCACACACTCTCTCACAGAGACACACACACACACACTCACTCTCTCTCACACACACACACACACACCCACACACACACACCCACTCACTCTCTCTCACACACACACACACACACCCACACACACACACCCACTCACTCTCTCTCACACACACACACTCTCTCTCTCTCTCACAGAGACACACACACTCTCTCACAGAGACACACACACACACACACACACACTCTCTCACACACACACACACTCACACTCTCTCTCTCTCACA